ATCTAAATCAATTATTTTTTTAAAAAAGTTATGATATAGAAATGAATCGCACGGCTTTTTAAATTCATGACAAGAATATAATACTAATTTCGCTTGTGAAAAATAGCTTAAAACATAATCTCTTTTGTGCATATATGCATTGATCAATCAAATAATGTTAAAGTTATTATCGAGGATAATTTTGTATTATGACATCATATATATATATACTTATTAAAACTTTTGTAAAATCATAATATAGTGATAGGATTGTCAAGCACTGATCATCCAACTAATTAATTTGAAATACGTGTGAAAACAAGCCTTCGAATTAACCAGAAAAAAATAAATCACCAAGATTTTGGTGATCCTATAGTGCTAGAGAATTGGGATGGACACTGGATTAACTCAGTAGAACATTCTAATTTTTTATAGTTTATTATTCTCATAAAAGATTTGGATTATACTTTGTGAATGTGGTTAAACTTGTGTCAAATCACGTAAGAACAATTCTCCACGTATTGTTTCTTTGGTCTATATGTCATTCTAGCCACATCTCTTACATAACAATAACAATGTGGAGTTAGATTTGTAATGGGTCATAAGATGTTTTTACAAGGAAATAAAATTAGGATAAGTATTCCATGACTTAGTCAAGTTTATTTTTCGAAATATTAATGTATGTGTTCGAAATTGATAAATGCGTATGATTTATATGAATTATAAATTATTTTATTATTTTAAAAATATTTTGAAAATAAATTACATGTTAACGATTTGAAAAAGCGTATGATTTATTTATGTTTTCTAATTCATATGAAAATGTATGTTCAACCATTATATTTGAAAAGGATTGAAAAATATATGAATATTATTAGTTTTAGATGATATACATTTTGAAATGATATACAAAAATATTTATTAAAAAATAATTTTGTAAAAAAATTATTGATATATTATTTTTAATAGCATGATAGTCGTTTAGTAAGTATGGCTATAATCTAAACCCTACCAATGGGAGTTATGCATTGGAATATATTTCAAAAACTAATTTGTTATGAGCCCAAGATATATGTGTTATCTACACCATTAAGGTTAAAAATGTATGTATGTTGTTCTAAAAAGTATTGAAGTATTATTTTATGTTAGCATGTAAAGTATAAATAATCGACATGGATGCATATTTCAAAAACATGTGTTGAGTGCATAAAGGATTTATGTGTTTAAAAAAAATGTTTTATCTATAATAAGTTTTGTGAGTTATATATGTTTATGATTTGCTCATAAATTATAAAGATCCTAAGGGGTAAATCAATTATTGGTTGATTTATATGATAAAATATTATATATATATATATATATATAATATTTATTCTGATTTTGACCCAAACTTTCTTAATACTGTAACGTACAAAGTCGTTTCTCATCACCCCACCCCACCCCACCCCACAGTGACGGTAGACTTAGATGGCACAAAGGACGATGTGATGCCATCAGGGACGCTGTTAACATGAGAGAAAGAGAGAGAGAGATAAGTGGCGTCTGTGTGTTGGAGATGGAGATAAGCTTCAACTAAGTCGAGAAGTGGCGTGTGTGTGTTGGAGATGGAGATAAGCTTTAACTAAGTCGTCTTACTTTTCCTGTTCATCGACCAGTATAATTTGGACGGCTTGTCTAATCGGTGAGTTAATGAGTTACGGTGATGGATTAATTGCCTACTGGTAATGGCGAGAGAGACTAGGGCGAAAAGAAGCAGTGAAGAAGATTACCTCCGAGGCCATGTCATTGAGTGCCTCCGCGAGGAGCTCCCACAGGTGGCAGTCCTCCGGCATCCCGAGGTCTGGGCTTCTCCTGTCCATCAACGCCAGCACCATGCGGCCTCCACCGACTATTTCTTCGGAACGACACCGGAGAAATAGCCTGAGATCTCTCCGGAATTGCTTCAGATATGCATTCAAGACGGCCCAAGGACTCGTCTTGGAGATGTACACCTTCCCTTTGTTCAGACACGAGACGGGAGATCCGTTCTGGAGTTCCTCAGGAACCTGCAAGCAAAAGTCAACGATTACCACTGCCATGGACCTACAGATCTGGGATCGGGACTTGGCATGCTGATTGATTCCTGGAACGTGGTACGTTAGCCAAGGAAGCATGTCCCACCTGAGACAGCCAGTGAAGGCTCGACGAGGAATGCACGAATTGCAAGCTCTTTCCGGGGAACAGCCGGCCGTAGAACGACCCGGGCACTGCCGAGAAGAAACAGCGCCCGCAGTCTGGGAGCCGCTCCCTCGCCCGGTAGAACTCGGGCAACGATCGGAACACGGTGTTGAAGTCGTTCCAGTATAGGTCGTTGAGGAGCACGTGGAAGTCCGGCGGGGGGGACTGTAGCTGAAGGCAGCTTCTCTCGATGGCCTCCATGATGTCGGCAACCACCAGCAGCGCGTTGGGACCCGAGGAGCAGCCCAAGTCGGCAATGCTCATGGTCCCGGAGGAGGCAGCAGCGCAGAGATAGGCTTCTACCACCGCTTCCCGTCGTATGTCCTTGGTTCTCGATATGATGACGCCCTACGCAGACGCACCGAATCCATGGAGAGAGAGAGAGAGAGAGAGAGAGAGTT